TCTCGCTGGCTTAGCTGTACCGCCCTCTCCCCTCGGCATTAACCTCCCCTTGCGCGTGCGTTTCGCGCGAAGTTCGCATCCCGGCATCGCGGCGTCGTTGTTTGACGTCAGCAGCTCCATACGCGATCCAGTGAGCCTCGTCGGCCCAGGGATGCTGCTCAGTAGCAGGCTCGGGAAGCAGGTAGTGGATAGGCTTGGCAATAGGCTTGGAGTTAGGTTCGGAGATAAGCTTGGCGATTCCGCGTGCTGTTCGGTTAGCCGCGACTGCCAGCTAGGATTGGCGGCAGAACGCCTCTTTGGCCCTGTTGTCAGACGACACCGTGTCGTGTCGGATAGGGGTTTCAGAAGGGCCAAGGGACGCGGGGACTAGGCGCAGAGCGGGGCCGAGGGGGCGTGGAGGGGCCAGCGGGTGGAGGGGCGCAGCAAGGGCGCGCGGAGGGGGAGAGAGGCGGGGAGGAGGGGGGGGGAGGGGACGGCGACGTGCGGCGGTGCGGCTGGTGCGAGCATGGATGGGAGTGGAGGGCGGGCCGGGGAGCAGCAGCGAGCGGCGCAGCGGAAGGAGCAGGCAGGGCGGGCGGGGTCGGAACGGCGCGTGATAGTGATCTCGGGCCCCACGGCGTCGGGCAAGACGCGCCTGGCGCTGCGCGTGGCGCGCATGGTGGGCGGCGAGGTGGTGAGCGCGGACTCGGTGCAGGTGTACCGCGGGCTGGACGTGGGCAGCGCCAAGGCCACCCGGGACGAGAGGCAGGCCGTGCCGCACCACCTGCTCGACATCCGAGAGCCGTCGCAAGGTGGGCAGTATGGCAGGTGGGCGGTATGGCAGGTGGGCGGTATGGCAGGTGGGCGGTATGGCAGGTGGGTGGTATGGCAAGGTGGGCGGTATGGCAAGGTGTGCGGTATGGCAGGTGGGCGGTATGGCAGGTGGGCGGTATGGCAGGTGGGCGGTATGGTAGGAGGGCGGTATGGCAAGGTGAGGGCATAGAATGTGGTAGGCCCTGCCTCGCACAGCAGCACAGCACGTGCCGTCCCCCTCTCCCCCCCACCACCCCCCCTCCCCCCAGAGTACACGGCGGGCGACTTCTTCACGGACGCCCGCGCCGCCACGGAGGACGTGCTGCGGCGGGGCGGCGTGCCGGTGGTGGTGGGCGGCACGGGGCTGTACCTCGCGTGGTTTCTGCACGGCAAGCCCAACACGCCCGTGGCCTCGCCTGAGGTGGAGTGTGCCGTGCAGCGCGAGATAGAGGCGGCCGTCATGGCGGGCAGGCGGGCCAGGCGGGCCAGGGCGCACGGGATGGGGTGGGGCAGGGAGGAAGGAGGTGGCGCGGTGGACGGAGGAGGGAGGCAGGCAACAGGCGGAGAAGGCGGAGAAGGCGGAGGGGCAGCAGAAGTAGCGATGGAGGGAAGGGCAACGTTGGATGCATCAGCGGCCGCAGCAACTGCAGCAGTGGAGGCCAGGAGAGGGAGGCGAGGGAGCGAGGGGCAGAGGAGAGGGAATGGCGTGGAGTGCAGAGGCGTGGAGGGAGGAGGGCAGCCATGGTGCGGATGTGGAAGGAGATGGGGCTGACGACAGCAACGACAGCATGGGACATACCCAAGGGGGGATGGGGTACGAGGCGACGGAGCAGGGAGCGGCGAGCCGGCAGGCGAGTGTGAGGTACAGGGAGGAGGGCGACTGGGAGGCGGCAGTGGGTGCTCTCGCTACTGCAGGGGATCCAATCACAGCAGGCCAGCTGGCACGAAATGACTGGTACCGGCTCACAAGGGCTTTTGAAATCCTCAGGGTATGTGTGGCTGATTGTGTGTTTCTGGTGTGAGTGTGTGTGCGTGCTCAAGAGGCATTTGTGTGCGTGGCGAGTGACAGACAGTCAGTGCCACCGATCTCCCATTCCTTTATCCCTCCTCACCTTCCTTCTACCTTCTCTTCGTTTCTCCTTCTCTCCACTTTACTCCCTGCACGTGCATGTGCCTGCCTGTCCCCCTCAGGCCACGGGTCGCCCTCGCTGCGAGATCGCTGTGCCGTCCCACCAGGCTAAGGAGGCCGCGCCTGCTGCTGCTGCTGCTGCTGTGTGTGCGTCGCCCGCTCCACCGTTCGCCTTCCACTGCTTCTTTCTGGACGCCCCTCGCCTGCCGCTGTACCGCCGGATTGACAGGCGCTGCGAGGAGATGGTGCAGGGTGAGGCTCGGTGCAGTGCAGGGTGAGGCTCGGTGCAAGGCTCGGTGCAGGGTGAGGCTCGGTGCAGGGTGAGGCTCGGTGCAAGGCTCGGTGCCGGGTGAGCTTCACCTTTTTATTTCCCCCCCTACCAGGCTCATCGCAAGGTGAGACTCGGCGCAAGGTGAGGCTCGGCACAAGGTGAGGCTCGGTGCATGTTGAGGCTCGGTGCAAGGTAAGGCTCGGTGCAAGTTGAGGATCGGTGCAAGATGAGGCTCAGTGCAAGTTGAGGCTCGGTGCAAGTTAAGGCTCGGTGCAAGGTGAGGCTCGATGCAAGTTGAGGCTCTGTGCAAGGTGAGGCTCGGTGCAAGTTGAGGCTCGGTGCAAGTTGAGGCTCGGTGCACGGTGAGGCTCAGTGCAAGTTGAGGCTCGGTGCAAGTTGAGGCTCGGTGCACGGTTAGGCTCGGTGCAAGTTGAGGCTTGGTGCAAGTTGAGGCTCGGTGCACGGTGAGGCTCAGTCAAGGAGTTTTCAGGGTTTCCAGGAAACGACTCATGGTTGTTTGGTAATGAAACTGGCTTGCTAACCCCCGTCTGCTGCTGCACTGTGCTCTCATCCCCATCCAAGCGCCCTGCACCGCACTTCTCCTGCATTTCACCTTGACTGTTTCAATTCCCCTCTTCGCCCTGCATTCTCCGTGGTCCCACCCCTCCCACTTCCCCAGCCGGGCTGCTCGAGGAGAGCCTGGCGCTGCTGGCGGCGGGGTTGCTGCCCAACACGTCCTCGCCCACACGCGCCATCGGGTACCGCCAGGCCATGGCCTTCCTGCTGCAATGCCGCCACGTGATGGCGCGAGCGCGTAGCAGAGAGGAGGAAGGACAGCACGAGCAGCAGCAGCAGGGGGGGGAGGTGCAGCGGCTGCTGCTGGCGTTCATAGAGGAGTTCCAGCAGGCGTCGCGGCGCTACGCCAAGCGCCAGACCACGTGGTTCCGCTCCCAGCCGCTCTTCCGATGGCTGCCCGCTGATGCCCCGCTGGTGAGAGGTGCTGCCCGCTGGTGAGAGGTGCAGCTCGGACGCGTTGCAGCATGTTGTGAGGCGGCGCAAGACAGCACACGAGTGGTGCTGCCCGTAACATACTATCAACCTTCTCCTTGCACTCGTGTCATCTCTTGCACTCGTGTCATCCCTTGCACTCGTGCCAACTGCTGTCCCCGTGGCACCTGCCGTACCCGTGTCATCTGCTGCATCCGTGTCATCTGCTGCATCCGTGTCATCTGCTGCATCCGTGTCATCTCTGTGCTCTCATGTGCACTGGCGCCCTCAGCGTCTGCGGTGCTGTGATTGCATCCCCCTCACCACGGAGCTCCTCCCTCATCCCCCCCCCCGCTGCTCGTCCCAGGACGACCTGGTGGCCATGGTGCTGCAGCAATACAACGCACCCTCTCCACAACCCACACGCGTAGAGGGGCAGCAGGGTGTGGAGGGGCAGCAGGGTGCGGAGGGGCGGGACGGGGCAGGTTGCAGGGCCGACGTGAATGGTGTTGGCGGCAGCGGGCATGCTGGGGGGGTAGGTGAGGGGGAGGCGCGGCGGCAGCAGCGCAAGGAGCGCAAGGAGGAGGAGCGCGAGCTCAAAGGGTACCGCGCGAAGCTCGAGTACGCCGCACTCCCAACCTCGCCTCCAGATTTTCCACTCCTTCCTCCCACCGTTTCCTCCCGAAGCTTCCAGAATGTTCATCCCTGTCTTTCTCTTCCCAATTCCGAGGTTTTCCTTGAGTGCTTTTCCCCCAGGAGCTGCTTGGTTGCCCTCATCCATCCTCTTCATTGGCTAGCTGCAGCCCGTGGCTGGGCCATGATCCCATGCCGGACATGATTACATTCTCCTCTGCTCCCACCCACGCTGTGCGTGCGCTCACTCACCACCAGGATATTTTGTGAGCAGCACGCTATTGACGCCACCGTGACGTGGATTCAGGCTAGCGTCAAGCTGCAGCCACACTGCTCAGGAGATGGGCCAGCACGCATGGGCGCTATCAGTGTGCATTCACAAGCATAAGTGTAGTTCAGTACTTGTACAACAAAGCCTAGTGGCATGTTTCAAAGTTGGCTCTTTCTGTCAAACATTTGTGTATCTAATGTTTGTATAGACTGTATAGGGTCACCTCTTAGAGAGTACAACCCTTAGACATATATCCTTGTACCCATGTTCTCTATTCATTCATTATTCAGTTCTAAGATGGTATCAGCAGTAGGTAGGTCCCGCCGCCCGCCCACGCTTCCGCTCTAGGACCTAGCCGCCCCCGCGCCCGCCCTAGCCGCCATCCTCGCCGCCCGTCCTAGCCGCGCCTGCGCGCCCGTCCTACCGGCCCCTCCGCCCGTCCTACCCGGCCCCCGCGCCGTCCTAACCGCGCCCGCGCGCCCGCCCTAGCTGCGCCCCGCGCGCCCGTCCTCCTGGGCCCCCGCGCCCATCCTAGCTGGCCCCCGCGCCCGTCCTACCGTCTCCCGCGCCCGTCCTACCGGCCCCTCCACCCGTCCTAGCCGGCCCCCGCGCCCGTCTAGCTGACCCACGCGCCCGTCCTAGCCGGCCCCGCGCCCTTCCTAGCTGGCCCCTGCGCCCGTCCTATCAGCCCCCGCGGCCCGTCTAACGGCCCCGCGCCCGTCCTAGCCGGCCCGCGCCCGTCCTAGCTGGCCCGCGCCCGTCCTAGCTGGCCCCTGCGCCCGTCCTACCAGCCCCCGCGCCCGTCCTAACGGCCCCCGCGCCCGTCCTAGCTGGCCCCCCGCGCCCGTCTATAGGCCCCCGCGCCGTCCTAACGGCCCCCGCGCCCGTCCTAACGGTCCCCGCGCCCGTCCTAGCCTGCCCTGTGCCCGTCCTAGCTGGCCTCGCGCCCGTCCTAGCTGGCCCCGCGCCCGTCCTAGCTGGCCCCGCGCCCGTCCTAGCTGGCCCCTGCGCCCGTCCTACCGGCCCCGCGCCCGTCCTAGCCGGCCCCACGCCCGTACTACCAGCCCCAGCGCCCGCCCTACTGGCCCCCGCGCCCGTCCTGCCAACCCCTGTGCGAGCCTTGCCCGTCAACCTCCGACCCCGTGCTCACCTCCCTGGTACGGTTCTGCATCCTCTTGCACCGCACTGCACCGCACTGCACCGCCCTGCATCGCACTGTACCGCACTGCACCGCACTGCCCCCGCAGTGTCCCGCCCTGCATCGCACTGCACTGTTCCTCATGGCGGGGGAGCTTCGCTTCGACGCTGAAGGCCAGACTCTGGAGTTCGAGGCCTAGCTAGCCGACCTCCGCCGCCACCTCACTGGCCAGCGGCAGGATGGCCACCCTTTCGGTACACCTTGACGGTACGCTTCCCTGCCCACACCCCCCTGCTGTGCTGCCAGCTGACCCCACACCTACTGAGCGTGAGTCTGCTGCGGCCGCTGCCCTTGCTCGCTCTGTCTGGCTTTCCCGTGACGCTGTCGCACAGCTTGCTATTAGCAATGCCCTCCCCCGTCTGAGCGCCCACGCTTTCGGTCTCTCACCACCGCCCAGGCTTTCTTAGATGATGTTATCAAGCGCTATTCCACCCACCTGCTGCCTCGGTGGGTCGCCTGATCCTCCTTCTCCTCTTCCCTGACGTAGCGTCGTTCCCCACGGTTGCTGATCTAGCTGCCCACCTCCGCACGATAGATGAGACCTGGCACGCTGCCTGCACTGACGCACAGCTTAGAGCCCATCAGCCGCCCTTACCTCTACCCTCTACTTGCTTGCCACCCGCCTCCCTGACCGCCTTGCCGCTGCTCGTGACCGCTTCCTTAGCATTCACCCGGTGACCTCACCCTCACAGACTTTGTAGACACCCTGACTGTTATCGAGACCCGCCACCGCTCTATCGCCCAGGCGAGCGGTACTGTGCCGGTCCCTATCTTTCAGGGTTGTGCCCCCGCTCAGTGCACCTTCTCCGATGGTTCTGCAGCTGTGGCTGAGACCGCCGCTGCAGCGCAGTTCCGTCCGGGGAAGGGTCGCCGCCCCAAGTCTGGGCGGCGGAGGGGTGGGGGTGCAGGTGGAGGTGTGGTGGAGTCGGGTCGCTGGTGGTGGAGCGACGAGGGGACCCTGCCGAGTAGCTGAGCAGCCGCCCCAGCAGCCGCAGCAGCAGCAGCCCCCGCACCAGCCGCAGCAGCCGCAGCAGACGAGGCCGGCGAGTGCCTCCCGCCCGGTGGCCTGCGCTGGTGGTGGCGTGCGCGTGGTGGTGTACCGGGTGGCGGTTCGGGAGGCGTGCGCTGTCAGTACCAGCTCCAGACCGGTCCTCGCCGGGCTTCGTTTGCGGTAAGATCGGTCACACCACTGCCGCTGTTTTTGTCGCCTGGACGACCTGTTTCGTCAGCGCTTCGGCCCGTCGCCCGACCTCCCGGACTGGCACAGTTTGCTTAGTCGTAGAGTTCAGATTTTTGACATGGACATGGATGCCATTGTTGCTGCCCTGCATGTGATGTATGCTGATGACTCTAGTGTGCTACCCTCTTATTACTCCTTGTCACCTAGTGTAGGTGTGCCTAGCTTAGCCTCCCCTGCTGCGTCAGGCGTAGGAGCTCCTGCTTTGTTTAGCCTTGGTGCTTCCGTCGTCGCCCCGTCGCCAGACGCCACTGCTGCGCTTTCCTTCACCTTGGACTCTGGCGCTTCCCGGTGTTTCTTCCGCGACTCCACTACGCTGACGCTGCTTCCTGTTCCTGCTGCAGTTTCTCTTGCTGACCCCTCCGGCGGTCCAGTAGTCGCCCGCAGTTCCACCACCCTTCCCTGTCCGGCGGTTCCTTCGGGCTCTCTCACAGGTCTGCATATCCCCTCGTTCTCCAGGAACCTAGTTGGTGTCGGCTGCCTCCAGGACCTTGGCGTCACCACTACGTTCCCTGGTCACGAGCGGTATGCTGTCTGTACCGAGGCCGCCACTGGTGCCCCCCTTCCACGTTCCCCGGGACCCGGTGTCCGGCCTGTTCACCCTGGACACCGTGACCCCCCCGGCTGGGGCGCCCCCTCAGGTGGCTGCGTCTTCCCAGGTTGCTGCTGCCTGCTCCTGTCGGTCCCACACTCACCCGACTCTCCTGTGGCACCACCGCCTAGGTCACCCTGCGCTCCCGCGTCTGCGTCACATGTCCCAGCACGGTCTCGTCCTTGGTCTCCCTGGTTCGTTTCCCGCTTTTCCCTCCTCCCCCGCCCACTGTGCACGCCTTGTGTCGAGGGTCGGCTTCGCCGTGCCCCTCACTCCTCCTCGTTTCCCCCTACCGCCGCGCCGCTGCAGACCCTGCACATGGACGTCTGGGGCCCCGCCCCCGTCCATGGGCCGCGTCGAGAGCGCTACTTCCTCGTGCTTGTCGACGACTTCACTCGCTACACCACATTTTCCCCTGGAGCGGAAGGCCGACGTGCCTGACGCTCTCATCCCCTGGCTTGTCTCTGACCGTGTCCACCGAGGTCTCCCTGTCTTGCGTCTTCACTCAGACCGTGGTGGCGAGTTTGCCTCAGGTGTCCTTGGTCGCTTCTGTCGTGCGGAGGGCATCACCCAGACGTTCACCCAGCGTTCACCTGCCGGACTCCCAGCAGAATGGGGTCGCTGAGCGACGCATCGGTTTGGTCATGGAGGTGGCTCGCACCTCCATGATCCATGCCGGTGCACCCCATTTTCTGTGGCCGTTCGCCGTGCGCTACGCTGCTCACCAGCTTAACCTGTGGCCGCACCCCCAGCGGCCGCAGGTTTCGCCGACCCTTCTTTGGACCGGGTCTCCTGGTGACGCGTCTGCGTTCCACGTCTGGGGCTGCCTTGCTCACGTTCGTGCCTCTGGCACGGACAAGCTCACTGCCCGCACCCTTCCCTGTGTCTTCCTCGGTTTCCCCTTGACGCGTCCGACTGGCACTTCTACCACCCGCCGTCTCACCGGTTCTTTCACTCTCGCGACGTCACCTTTGACGAGTCCGTCTCCTTCTACCGTCGCTTCCCCCACCTGCGGTCCCCCTGTTACTCCCCCCCTGTTCCTGGTCACTCCTTCCCCGGTGGTCCCTGCCCCCCCCCTCCCCTCCCCGTCCTGCCCCCTCTGGTGTGTCCCACGTCACCCTCTCCGTCGGTTGTCCGGTTGAGGAGTCTTCTGACTCTGGTGGTCCTGCGGCGCAGTCCTCCCCGTCTGCCCTCCCCCAGGTGTTCCTCCTCCACAGCCTCTGCAGCCGCGTCGACTCTGCTGTCACGCCGTCGTCTCCGCCGGCCGCCGGCCGCACCCGTCGTTACCGCCGCCGGCCGTCGCAGCAGCAGTTCGTCGACTCTGGGGGTGCTCGCGTTGGGTGGGTACTCGTCCTGGGGTTCCTGTCGTGGCCTGTCCCGGTGGCCTGGGAGTGGTACCGGTGCTTGCGGGTTTCGGGCTCTGGGGGTGTTCTTCGGGGGTGCAGGAGTGGCGTGTCCGGAGGTAGCCTAGGAGCAGCTTGCAGTCCCGGTGTTGGTTGTTGAGCCGCCGCAGCAGCAGTCCCCACCGTGTCAGCTTCGCCTGCTCGGCCTTTCGTCCCCTGACCTACGTCTGTTCCTCTCCTGCCGTCTCCTCCTCTTCCTGTCTACACGCCTGTGTTCCCTCCGCCGACTCGTCCCCGCTCGGTCTTCCCCCCGCTCCCCCTTGTGTCCCCTCCTCTGTCTCCTGACCCGACGCCTCCGTCTCACGTCTGGTCTCGCCGTCCCTCTCGTGCTTGCCCGATCTCCCCTGTCATGCGCTCTCACCTTGTTGCTCCGTTCCCACGCATCTCGTCTCCCTTCTACCGTCGCCTCCTCCTCTCTTACACCTTGCACCTCCTCCTCTGTCTGACTACCTTCGTGCGCTCGTCCTCTGTTCCTCGAGTCCACGCCTCTCTCGTTACCGACCCGTCCGTTCCGGTCTCGTGTCTTGACGCTCTTGTCGCTGGCGGTCGCTGACTTCGCCTATCCCGCCGCCTTGATACGCCAACGCTTTGGTCTCTGACCCCGCTTGTCCTCCGTCTGTCGGGGGTGCTCCTGCCTCGGCAGTGACGTCCTGGAGGACCGCCAGTTTGAGCTTGCTTTCCTGTCCGAGGCTGCTCCCCATCTCTGTTCCATGCTGCTAGTCCCTGAGGGTGACCCAGACGCTTTGACATCCCGACCCTCGCACTTACGCTGAGGCGACCTCGGGTCCTGGGCCTCTCAGTGGATAGCTGCCATGGAGTAGGAGATGGCATCTTGGAGATCCACCGCACCTACGTCG